TGTGGTGGGAGGGGCAGGATCTGGCTGCTGGTGGCTGAGGACTTGGGCCTGAGGGCTGAGAGCTGCCTGCAGCGATGAGAAGGATGATGGCCTGGTCAGTTTCTCCAGAGCTGGTTTCTGGGGGAGTTCCAGGACTGACGAAATGCTTATGTGGACGATGGCGAAGCCTCCCACAGGTTGAAGGAGGAAAGCGAGGCCCAGAGATGAAATTTGACTCAGGTCATTTTTCATTCAACAAAGGCTGCGTTGGACCTTTTGTGTTCTAGGCCCTGTGGTAGGCTGTTGGGGGGAAGTAGAAGGGTAAGACTGCATAAGGGCTGTAGGAGATAAAATGTGGGCAAAGGGCTACAGTAAAGCAAAGCAAAGCAAAAAAGAAAAAAAGCTCTTTTCAGTTAGAAATGATGTGCTGTAGAAGCTCGGGGAGAGTGACTTAATGCGTTCAATTGCTGGTGAGTGAGTTCCCCTCTCCTCTAGCCTTCTACAAACACAATCATTCCTTATGAGAAGCCCATAAGAAACCTTAGTCTCTAAGGTCAGAGGTTCAGGACACAGTGAAGGAAAGCCCCAGATCTCTGGGCTTGCGAGGTCTGTGGTGCTTTTGGTTTCCAGAATCTTACAGATCCTACTTGCGTGTTTCCCCACAGGGCCTTGTGTGGTCAATTCCAGACTCAGAAGAAGATGGGCCTAAGGAGCACTGAAGTGGCTGTAGCGGGACAGGCTTCCGGCTGGAGCTCTGCATTCTTTACATTCCTGGCAGATGTCAATCCAGTTTTTTTTTTTTTTTAATCCAGTTCATTTTTATCTGCAGACTGTGTCATCTGTTGGGTGGATGCGTTTTAGGGGAGAAAACCTGTGGTTCGGTCCCAGCTAGACCAGGAGGCTTGGGAACACCAGGACCCCTCTTGAGTCTCTTAGCACTCTGCCTGACACAAAGTGGGGGCTTGATAAGTACTTCCAGAACTCATAGACACACCATTCCTCCCTCTTTCCAAGGGAAGTTGGATCACTGACGCCAGAGCTAGGTTCTTTCAGCTGCAAAGCACTTGTGGCTTTCCGGGTGACTCATCACTGGCTGGAGTAGGGCTGCCTGCAGTGCTGGTAATGGACTAAGCTAGCCTCTCAGAGCTGCTGCTGAGCCGGGAGTTCCATTCCTCGAGGAGTTGGGGAGAGAAAGCCCCAGCTGGTGGAAAGGACCCGAGTGTTTTCCCAGCCACTGACGTGAGACTCCTTCAGTCTCGATTCACACCCACTGGCCTATAGAATAGCAAGACCTCTGCCCACAATCACAGTTCCTTTGTCATCGCATCCAGAGAAGTCCAAAAGGACGGAAAAGGGGCTGGAAAGGCTGAGCCTCTGGGGAGAAAGGAATCAGTGCTGTTCCAGATGAACCCTCCCATTTTCCTTCATGATCTTCCCTTACTCTACATGGGTTGTCCCATGACCCCGGGGATTATTTCTTTTTCCTTATTAAAAAAAAATTTAGGGAGGGGGGATCGGGATGGGGAACACATGTAAATCCATGGCTAATTCATGTCAATGTATGGCAAAAACCACTACAATATTGTAAAGTAATCAGCCTCCAACTAATAAAAATAGATGAAAAAAAATTTATTTATTTGGCTGTGCCAGGTCTTCTTTGATCTTTGTTGCAGCATGTGAATTTTTTTTTTTTTTTCAGTTGTGGCATGTGAATTCTTAATTGTGGCATGTGGAATCCAGTTCCTTGACCAGGGATCAAATCTGGGTTCCCTGCATGGAGAACATGGAGTCTTATCAGCTGGACCAATGGGAAGTCCCTATTTCTTTTTAAAGGAGCTGCTTTTCTTAAACATTTTTATTGAAAAGTCATAATGGACCTGCTCTAATGCAAAACAAAACAGCTCCCATAAGGGGCCGAACAGCCTCCCCAAACAAGCATTTGTGGAATATTTGCTAAGCATCTCCTACCTCCTCTAAGAGAGGACCACATCTTTCTTCTTTGCTTTTGTATCTTTATAGAGCAATTACTTGATAAATATTTGTTGAATGAACTAATTGAATTTGGGGAAATTAATAAACTATTCATATGTTATCTCAAGCAGCTAAAAAAATAAATTGCTATTATCAATGGCAGTGGGAATGAGAGTTATTGATTCAAATGGTCCGTAAGTATTTGACAGATTAAACCCATAAAAACAGACCACTACTCACCAATCTTTAAGACTAAAATTAAAAAAAAAATAACACTGAGTGGTGGGAGAACATGGAACAACTGAAATTCTCACATTCTGCTGCTTGGAGAGTAAATTATTAGGCGGTTTGAAAAATTAGCAATATCCACTAAAATGAAACATATACCTATACAATAGTATGACATAATTCTCTTCCTAGGTATATATATATATATATAATTTCTCTTGGATGTGATATATATGTGATATCTCCAAGAGAAATTATTTCTCCAAGGGAAACATGTTCACCAAAAGCACACATAAAAATACACAACTGTTTATAGCAGTTTTAGATTCAAACTGTATACAATACAAATGACAGGAGAGCAGGTAAATTACTTAGCATATACTTATACAATGCAATACTATACGGGAAGAAAACAAACAAACACAAAAAGTCAACTGCTGATACAGGCCACAACATAAACAAATCTCACAGACATTAAACTTAGTGAAAAATTCAGAAACCAAAGTATGCATACTGCATGATTTCAGAGACAACTTTTCAGGCCTTACTTTCCAGGATTTTCTGCCATATCTGATGTTGCTGATGCCCCTCACTTGGATGTTTCCTTCTGGATTTTCATGACCCCATGTTGTCCAGGCTTCCTGTGCTTCTGTGGACCATTTCCTGTCTCCCCCAGGGGTCCTTGTTCTTTACAGTTCCTTTCTAAATCCTGCTCCTCTGGGTTCAGCTGGGCACTCTTAGCTCCACTGAGGCATTCTCCCTGGAGCCCCTCATGCTGTCCATGCTATCCATAGTCAGATGACCCTCAGATTCTGTCTCCCCTCAAGTCAGGGCTGTGCCATCATCTGCTTACTGGACAGCTGACTCTGGACATTCTTAGAGCACTTCTGGTTCCAGCACTACCTGGATTATTACAACTCCTTTGCAACTGGTTGTCACAGCTTCCAGCCAGCCTTATTCCCCTCAGACCCTCACATCATGTGGCAGAGAAGGCCTTCACTGTCTGGCTGCTATCCACCTCTCGAGCCCTGTCTCTTGCCCCTCCTGGCCTTGAATTTCTAGTCTAGCCATGTTGAAACGCTAGCACTCCTTTTATACCATACAGCTTCCTGTCCCCATGTATTACCTCACACTGTGCCTTCTGCCTGGAATAATCTCCCACTCTTCTCTTTGTCTGGCTGCTCTTGTTCTTAAAGACTCACTTGAATTTCCCCTCCTCCAAAAAGAGCTTCCTTTCCTATGCTGGGTTCAAAATTCATCCTCTCTACCCCTACAGTCCCCTGGCTGGGGAACTATCTATCTCCTTGCAGTATCTTTTTGTTTCTGTGTGCGTCTGCTGGACTGCCAGGGGCAAGGAGTGTGTCTTTTTCATCTCTAGATACATAACATCTAGCACATCTCCTGACACATGGATGGGGCTCCACAAATATTTATTGAGAGAATGAATGGCTACAGCACCATCATTACCCTCAATATCAGGTTTAGAGCCATAGTTTACAAGTGGATATAAAACAGTCTATAAAGCTGCTGTCTCCGTGGCTCAGCAGCAGTGCTTCCTCAGCCAGGGACTTGCAGGGAGGGCACAGTGCTGACCGGGGACACTTGTATAAATGTGCGAGATGGACTAATGGTGCAGGGAGTGACACGTCACCCGTATCTGCTTCCGACAGCCTCAGCTGGCTCCCCTGGGAGTCACAGGCACTTTTTTCCACCTTCCCATCTGCTGGCCTTTCAGGTAACCTAATTCGTGGCCCTTTCTAACTCCTTCGGTCACCTCTGAACTGTCAGTTGAATTTCCCCAGTACACCCAGGCATCTTTCAGGGGGCACACACGGATCAAACACTACTCTCTGCAGAGTATGCTCCTGGAGGCCCCTGGCTCCCGTTCTTCAGTCCTGGCGCTCTCAGAGGAGCCCACTGGGGGATCCGCCTCTTTCTGGGCGCGAGGGAGGAGGAGCAGGCAGGCTCCACGAACCTAAAGGTGTTTCTTCGGTCTTGCCCTCCTTCCTCCAACAACAATAAGGCTTTGTTTGTCGGGCATAAGGTTACAGGGTTGGCTTGTGGAGCTCTGAGAACCCGCTAAGTTCCCCCTTTTACGCTCATCTCTCGGAAGTTCAGTTTCTCCATCGGGTCAGCGGTGTGTGTTGAGGGGGCGTGGAATAGGTAGATCGCTTAGAGCTATTAGGGTGCTGCCCAGGTGTGTATAAAGATAGCTCGGCCCTGCCAGCCCGCGGGAACCCGGGGAGCTGAGCGACTTAGACCCTGAGGAGTCTAAGGGAGGGCGGCAAAGGAGCCCGCGGCGAGGCGGGAAAGCTGCGCGGCTTCGGAGCGCCGAGGGCTGGCCAGAAACCTGGCTCCGGCAGGGCAGGGGTCCGCCGGGTCGTGCCGCGAGGGGCGGGGCCGGGGGCGGAATCAGGAAATTCCCAGCAAATTCCTTTCCATTCCGGCACTCCCCTCCCCCCTTCTCCGGGTGCCGATCTCTCCGGACCCTGGGAAACAGAAAATGAACTGCTTTTCGGGTTTCCTCGCGTCGGTCCTCCATCCCCTGGCAGTTGTGGGCTTTGGAGCGCTCGTGGGAGCGCAGGACGCCGCGGCAACGGAGTACCGGGCCTTCCTGCGGGCTGGGAGCGTGTCCAATGCCCCGGCAGTTCCTCCTGGAGCTCCCGAGCGCGCAGCCGCTCGGTCCCCGAGCTTGGCGAGGCGTCCCCCGGCTTCGGTCCCGTTCAGCTTAAGCTGGTGTCACATGAGCCGCGCGGGGGAGTGGGAACCCGGGGAGTGGGCGGGGGCGTGCGCGCCGGGAGGGGGCCGCCCAGTCCACCTATATGCGCCGCGGCCTGGCTGACGGATGCCAGGAATTCCCAATGAGAGGCGGAGGGGGGAAGTTTGGGCAACTCGGCCTGGCCAATGGAGAGCCTCCGGAGGGCTCTGCCCCTGCCCCTCGCCCCCGCCCGCCTCTGCGCCCGCAGCGCGAGTGTGTCCGCCTCGCTCAGTGTGCGTGGAGATTAGGTCTGAGCGCCGGCGCGAGGCAGGCAGTCCGCGAGCTCCAGCCGCCGCCGCCACCAGCCGCCGCCTTCGCCAGCAGCGCCGCGGCGGAACCGGGTGCAGGGGAGCTAGCCCGGCCCCGCCAGCCCAGCCCAGCCCAGCCCTAGCCTAGCCCAGCCCAGCCCAGCCCCAGCCCAGATCGTCCCGACTCTCTCCCTACGCCGGGGCAGCAAGCCGCAGCCGCCGCCGCCCGGAGAGAAGGTGGAGGAAGAAATCCAGCCCCTAGCACGCGCGCACCATCCATCATGGACCATTATGATTCCCAGCAAACCAATGACTACATGCAGCCCGAAGAGGACTGGGATCGAGACCTGCTCCTGGACCCAGCGTGGGAGAAGCAGCAGAGAAAGGTCAGCAACCTCCCCGGCCCGTCGCAGCCCCCCGCCCGGGGCAGCTCCGCTCGCGGGGCTCTGAGGTTCTGGGCTGCGAACCGGTTCCAGGCGCGCACGAGCGGGGGCGGAGGATGCGCGGTCGCCGCGAGGTGGGGTGTTGGGTTACAAGCGCGGGGCGGAAGGGGGAGCGCCCCGGCCCCAGAGCCCGCGAACGCCGAGGCTGAGCGCTGGGAGGTGGGGCCGCCCGCGGGCAGGTCGCCTTGGGGCGGGCTGCCCTGGCCGCCCGGCTGCAGTCGCACCGGCCCCGCGAGGGCGAGGCGCGGGGGCGGTGCTCTGGAGGCTGGGGCTGAGCCCCGGGCTCGGTGGCAGTTAGCTCCGGATCGATTTTCCCTTCCCTTCCCCGCCCCTTGACCGCCTTTCCATATGGCGTGCGGTGGCAGCGCGCTTCCTGGGTCGCCTTGGTACCTTGAAGGGGACAAGCTGCATGGGTCCTCCCAGCCCCAGTCCGCCGGCCGAGGGGGCAGCGGGCGCGGCGGGATTGGCACCCCCCCCCCCGGGTCTGTGTGGAGGTGGACCTGCCGGAATGGGGTTAGGGCCCTGAGAACCCAGGCCAAAGCGGGCTCCCCAACGGGCCCTGTGGAGGCGGGGTCAGGGCGGCAAACCGTTTTATTGCTTAACTCAGTGCTTGGTAGCTGCGACCCGAGATGAGCTTGCGTCTGCGTCCTGCCTCTCCGATCCCCGCTCATTCCTGGGAGATGGCGAATTTGGGCAACTTGATCTGAGTTGAGGGGCTCGGTAGGGCAAGGCATTGTCTCTGGGGATATTTGGGGTCAGTCCTTGGGGCTCCATGCTTAGCCACCGAGGCGCGTCCCAGGCCGCGTGCCGGGTGCGCGCTCTCCCACGGGCTGGGCTCAAAGCTGGCGAGGGGGCCCGGGCACAGTGGCCGGGGGCAGGAAGAGGTCAGAAAGCACTCTTGTTGGGGGGAGGGCGCCCCAACCGTGCCTTTGCTTCCTGCCTGCGCGGTGAGCTCTTGCCCCAGGCGGCCACGTACCCTGAACACCCTTTCCCTCCTCCCTCGCGGCCCGCTCCCATCCGGTCCTTTCTTAACCCCCGCCACCCCCACCTCCACCCCTCGGCTGATCTGGGAATGGGGGGGCGGGGGACACACAGGATGGCGCGTCCCCCTGGATAGTGCGGTTAGGGCTGGGCTTGAGGGAGAACGCTTATGTCCAAAAATGGTAACATTCATTCCCTTTTTTAAACTTAAAAGGGGGGGGAGTTTAGGGAGCCGACTGAAGTTTTTTTTCAGCCAAAGGCATCCTGTATTAGCTCACTCAGGAATCCTAAGCCCTGAAACTGGCGCCCTTTTACTCACTTCATCAGACAAGCAGAGGTAATTTAAAACAGCGCACAAAGGGCTTCCCAAAGCAGGGCGACCTGAGCCCCAGGGTCTTGGCTTCTGCTGGGCCCAGCCCTCTTCAGCCGCACCAGAAGGTTGCCCTGCTTCTAGCTGACTTCTTTTCCTTGCCGCAGTTACTTAAACACCCCTCCCCCTCTACCTGTCGGGCCCCTCGGGGAGGGCTGGGGGAGAGGTGAGTCCCTCCCTCACCTGGTTTATCTCCTGGGTCAGTTGGACTGTTGGGGAGTTGAGAATGGAATAATCTGGAGATTCTCATGGGGGTAAAGGTTGGGGAGTTTCAAGGTGCACCTTCCTTGGGAATAGATTTTAAGTTGGACAGGAGGAGTGGGATTAGGGTGTGGTGGATATTTGGGGGGTCTTCTGTGGGAGGGGGGAGAAGAGTAGAAATTTCTGTTTGCCTAGCACCTACTGTGTGCTTGGCCAGGTGGAGTGACAGGACTGCCCAAGAATTAGGAGTCAGGTCCTTTTAAGGACTGTGGGACTAAGCATTGAACCTGCACATGGTATTCATTATTATCAAATGAATGAGTGAATTTATTAAAAGCAGTGGGGGAGAAAAATTAGTGTCTCTCTTTCTCTCCCTACACACACACACACACACACACACACACACACACACACTCAGAACTCTGACCTGGGTGGTAGTGGGTGTGCATCAGGTTTTTGGGCAGCCAGGTGGGAACAGGGTCACCTGGGAAGGTTGGTTACCCAGGGACAAACTCCATAGTTCCAAGAGCTGGTGTTGGCTGATATATGCTGGGCACTGTTCTAATCGTATATATTATTTCAGTTGTTACTCCCAGCAGCTCTGGGAGCCGGGCAGCAGGAGGATGAGGAAATGAAGGGCAGAGGTGGAAGTAACCAGCCTAGCGTCCAGACAGTTGCATGGCAGGGCTGGGTTGCAGCCATGCTCCCCCAGGCAGCTTCCCCTCACTGGTTCCTTAGTTGGTGAAGGAGGCCGGAAAGCTGGCTCTGGCACCCAGAGCCTGCAAAGATCTCGGACCAAGGGGAGCCAACACCTGCTTTGGTGGGGTTGGTGGAGAAGGCCCACAAGCTCTGGGCCTTGGTTGAATCTGGTCCACAGCTTTTTTTTTTTTTCTGGGCCATTAAGTCTCTGTAACCTCAGTTTCTGTACATTTCCCCTAGTTCTCAGCAGGCTGGTGGGGATCTGAATTGGCATTACAACAGGAGGATCAGACTTAAAGTAACTTTGTGCTTTTGACAGTCTCCCTGCTGACCCTGGGAGGTGAGGGTTGAGTGGGACCAGAGCCAAGGAGTAGGACAGAGGCCAGCCGTTCCAGATGGAGGCGGGAGAGTGAGGGTGGGGGTGAGGAGGGGCAGAAGGAGGTCGCGGTGCTGTGAGATACAGAGGCCACCGGGTAGGAGGCTGAAGACCCCTGTGTTTTGTCCTAGACCAGACAACCTGGACTGTGGGTGAGACTCTGGGCCAGTCATTTCGCCTCTCTGAGCTTTTATTAGTTTGTTCAGCAAGTACTTTTGGAGCCCCTCCTCTGGGCCAGGCTGGGATCCCAGTGCAGAGGGTGCAGCCATGAGGTAGACAGGCCAGGTCTCTGTCCCCGTGGTCCTTCCGTTCTGTTTCCTCCTCCTGCCTGCCCTGCCCACCCCTCAGGGCTCCTTACAGGCATCAGATTAAATGACTTCTTGGGTGACGCCAAGGCTGATGCAGATGCTGGTAGAAGTCTGTGCAGGTAGCAGGCATGACTCAAGAACCTGCCTTGGGTTGGCCACGGCTTGTCCCTTCAAAGAGTGCTTCAGTGCAGAGTTCATCCTGCTGGGCTCCTTTGCCTCAAGACACAAACTGCCGTGGCTTGGGCAAGTTTACTGGATTTTACAGTCTTTCTGATGTTGGAGACTGATAACTGAAGCCATCTTTTCTAGGGGCCCCAGCTCTGAACGCCCATCTTTTGGGAATGACCAGCGTCCTCAGAGTCCGTGGGTGACTCTCAACCCACGTCCTTGTGTGTGTGCTCACGTGTGCCTCGAGTCAGGTCGGCTAGAGAGAACATAGATTTTGAGTAAAATCCTGGCTCTACACTTGTATCCTTGTGGCCCTGGGCAAGTTACTTATCCTTTCTCAGCCTCCAATTTCTTGTTTATAAAAAGAAGCTAATACCTTCCCCATCCCACCCCCCTTTACTGCTAGGTCGGCAGCAGAGGGTATGTAAAAGGGCCTCTTCTGCCGTTCAATTTTGTTTCTGTCTCTTCCTTCTTAAATCCTGGAGGCTCTAGTGTCCTGTGTATTCCCACAGGTGCCAGCCCTGGGTTTTTGTTCTGTTTTTCACATGTAGGACCTTAATTAATATTTGTTGAGCTGATGGATGTTCAAACAGAGAGACAGCCCTGGCAGGTGAAAGAAGGTAGTTGTAAATAGGCCAGATCCTGATTCTGTATCCACATCAAGCCAGGTTGTCAAGCTATGTGGCAAGAAGAGAGGCTGCTTTATTTACATTTGCTTCTGGACTTCGAGGTGCTTCCTGGTGGCTCAGCGGTAAAGTGTCTGCCTGTGATGCAGGAGCCACCGGAGACGTGGGTTCGATCACTGAGTCAGGAAAGATCCCCTGGAGGAGGGCACAGCAGCCCACTCCAGTATTCTTGCCTGGAGAATCCCCATGGACAGAGGAGCCTGCCGGGCTATAGTCATGGGGTCACAAAGAGTCAGACTGAGCATGCATGCATCCATGTCCTGGACTGGCGAGACCATCATCAAAGGAGCTACCAAGGTTACCCACCAAGGTGGATTGCAAAGAGGGGAGAGTCTGCCGTAGGTGGGTTTATCTGGGGAGGATCAGGACGTCTGCCTACCTTGAAGGCAGGAGGTTAGGAGTGAGTGATGCCTGGTAGCGATAAAGCCTGAAAGAGGAGAGAATTGGCCCTCATCTCCATCCTCATACTCTTAGTGTTCACTCCTTCCCGATTCACTCAGTGTCATGGAGGCAGGACGCAGCCTGTCCTGTGCTGTGCAGAATCCCTAGTGCCTAGCACAGAGTCAGACCTATTGCACGTGGTCCAGAAATGATGATGAAGTAATTGGATAAACATCATGCCTGGCTCCTAACTCCAGGCCAGGTTGGTAGAGATTGGGATGAAATGCTTCACATTCCAGATAAACTATCCCTTTCTGGGACTGGATTCTGGCTCTGCCTCAGCAGATGGACATGCTCTGGGCACCCTGGTTCAAGTCTTCACCCCTCCACTGGCTAGCAGTGTGATCCAGGGTGAGTCACTTAACTGCTCTGTGCCTGATGATGCCAAGAGAGAAATGGGGATAATAATTGTTCCTGCCTGAAATAGCTGAGTAGAAGCTTACAAACCAAGAAAGGTGCGTAGGGAATTTAGCATAGCACATGGGGTATAGTGAGTGCTCAGTAAATGTTAACTATTTTGAGGAACCAGAGCTGCTATGGCTTTTTTACCGTGATGCTTTGAGATAAGATGTAGTATAAAAATCTGCTTCCAAAGGAAGCCAGTAGTGTGTGGGAGTTGTGTTGTCCTTGACCTTTGACCCCAGAGTCAGCGCTGGTTCATTGAGTGTCACCCATCCTTTCCGTTTGCTCAACCCCATGACCTATAGAATGGT